GACTGAATGGAGCTTGAGCAGAAATGTATTTGATAGTTAAACATGTTAAATGTTGTGACCTTTTTATATTTTTTCAGATACATAAAACCTACCATAATTTCTCTTTTTATTATAATTTCTGGGGCTTTATGCCTTTTTCATTGATTAGACAGCTCAATATAGACAGAACAGGGAGAGAGAGAGAGACCACAGGTCAGACTCGAGTTGATGTATTGTTTTGAACTATCTGAAGACTCTAAAATGCAGCAAGGAGAGAGAGAGAGAGAGAGAGAGAGAGAGAGAGAGAGAGCAGTTTGGTAGTCAGCCCATGCATGTTCAGCCTGTATATTTTAGATTTCTTTTCATTCCAGTTTTGCAGGTTTGACCAAGTCTTCAGCAGATGAGGTTGAATATCCTCAATCACATGTTTGAGAGAGATTTAGCTGTCTAGATTTAACTAGAAAGAGTTTCCAACATAAGTCAGTTGTTTTTTCTAGACATTAATATGAACATCCACATAAGTTGTTGTGCACATACATGTGTCCAGTTTAGCCCCACCCAAATTAAAATACGTTCCCCCACACGTCTGAGTGTCTCCTTGAGCTCAGGAAGTTCTTTAAAAACTGACTCTGATGGAAAGGTTTTTTTAAATGTGTGTGAACAATGTTGTTTCACGTCTTTCTCACACACACATTAAAAAGTGTCCAGTATGGGGAAACCTGATGAAACAGGTTGTGTGCACATTTTTATCATGTTATCTTATTTTTATTTTTATTTATTTTTCCTCGATTGTATTTACTATCAACAATGATGAGAAAATCTTACTCTGACATTGGTTATAATCCTGCACATGTGAAAATATGTAATTAGACATCTGTTGTTAGTGTACAGGGATCCATGAAAGAAACATTTGATCCAAAGAAAGAAAATCTCTTTATTGGCTTACAGCATTAACAGCATCGGCATTATTGGAACAATAAAAATGTCATGATCTAAAGTTTAATTCAGTTAAAATGTTGGAATGATAGAAAGTGCAGATTTAAAGCTGTAGCAAGGTAAAAACAGAAGCAGAGTCCCAGTGAGTCCGGTCAGTACTGAGAACATGGTCTCTCATACATTTCCATAGAGAGCCACTTTGCATCAGCAGCACCATGCTCCAGTGATCTGGGAGAGTTTATAGTCCTGAGAGTTGAACACTGGATGACTGACAGCTGTCCTTCATGACAACAGAAGACACAGAAATCCTCCTCATCAAAAACATGACTTTGATCTCCGTCCTCATCTGGACTCTCCTCTGCTGCTGCTTCACAGGTAAAGTCCAGAGAATCAAACTCCTCTCCCTCTATGAACATCCGTCCCTCTGAAATGAAGCCCACAAAACCATGACGCTGCTTTATGTTTTTGTCTCTGTATCCCTCAGAGTCCAGAGGCCAGGTCACAGTGACTCAGTCTGGAGCAGTGAGCTCTGCTCTGGGACGCTCCGTCACCATCACATGCAGGACCAGTCAGAACGTTTATAATAATGACTTTTTAGCCTGGTACCAACAGAAAGATGGAGAAGCTCCTAAACTGCTTATCTATAGAGCAACTTCTCGACAATCAGGGATTCCAGGTCGTTTTACAGGCAGTGGATCAAACTCTGACTTCACTCTGACCATCAGTGGAGTCCAGACTGAAGATGCAGCAGTTTACTACTGTCAGAGTGATCACTATATCAACAGTCAGAGAGTGTTCACACAGTGAAAAAGCGTCATACAAAAACCTCCCTCAGTCAGACTGAACAGAAACTGAACTGACTGCTGCAGCTGGAAGCTACTGCAGAGACTGATACACTTCACTGAGGACACACACACACACACACACACACACACACACACACACACACACACACACACACACACACACACACTAAACAGTCTGCAGGAGAACAGTGGAAATGAACCTGTATATGGTACTGAACTGATAGAGGGAATAGACACTTTTCATGGCAGACATTTTGACTTGCCAAAGCAGGAAAAGCACAGGTGTATTTATTACATTAATGATGGCTGCATTACATTTAGGTGAACCAGTCTCAGAGCTCTGGTACTGTGCATGCTCACTCACTGAAAGGCCTTACTGGGACATTGAATGAAACAGAGCCAGTGTTACAGTTTTCTTCAATTGCTAACAAGTGTTTACCTAAACTTAAGAGACTTTATCGAAACTCTTAACACAGCAACACACCTACCTCACACTTTTAGCCAAATAGTACATTTTCTGCTCAAAACCACATTTCGTTCTTTAAACACCAACTCTACATTTCAAAATGCAAAAAATATTCTCTATCTACACAAACTCTATCAAAACACAGCAAACCTGACTCAAAAATCAAACCATTCTGTTAAAACACTAGCACATTTTCTTTCCAAGAGGAACAGATCAATCAATCATAGCACAACAACTTTCTAAATACAAACAGTTGATAGCATTACAAAAACTCCATAACTTTTCATGCTCTACCTGCAAACAGTAGACAATGAGAAATCCATTGTTGTTTTTAATTCAGTTTCATTTTACTGTAAACCACCCTACATTTTTGGCTTGAAGGTCAAATGTGTGCATTTTTGGCAACAAACTACGCAAAAGTGAATGAGTCATCTTTACTTTCTAGAATGTACAGTAGAAAAAAATTGCAAGTGACAAAATTGCAGAAGTTAAAGCTTTACAATATTATCAACATGAAATTGCAGCCAGTGATCAACAAATAATCCAAACTATGTGTCCTTTGGTTCAAAATGTGTCAAAATACTGTCAGATACACAATTTGACAACAAAAAAGAGGCACAGATGGGAAAGAAACAAAAATGCACAGTCCTGTTCTAATCCATACGATCTTCAGCATCTGGCGCATGTTCTCATCCTCATCACATCTAATGTCATCTCTCGCTATGCACCTTGGATAGAAACGCTTGGCATGCCTTATCCACCTCTGGCCCTCCTCTCTCCCTAGCCCAACTATTCGTCTTCCTTATCCAGACATTATTCTTTCTTTCTCTTCTCATCTGTGTTGCTCTGTATCCACATTGAATAAACTCAGTCCAGAAAGTCCCCTTTATACTGCATTGTGTATGTCATTGAAAGAACTTCCACACCTGGCTATGTCTCTGATTGAGATTGGAATTAGCTGTGGTTGATCTATTTTACCCAAATTACAAAAAATCAGCTATTTCTCAATGTTTCATTGATATGTTCATTACGTATTTTTTTTCCAATTGCTAACACACTAAAATGACATGCATAGCACAATTCTTTAAAGTGACACACAGAGAGCAAAACCTCTTCTCAAGTCTCCAAAACTCTAAACACATTTTCTGCTTTACACACATTTTTAAATGCACTGAACACGGTTCTCTGCATAAGACACAACAATCTGACATAAAGTCACATGTTTGCCATTTCAAAACACTGCCAATCAAAATGACACTACATGAGCTAATTGGCCAATATATGTGCCACCTGGCCAAACACCTCAATGGTTAATTGTTAGTGCATATGTTGCACTGACTTGTTTGGTTGAAAATAAAAAAATAAATGTTTCAACAGTGTGTGTGTGTGTGTGTATCTGCAAATAGTTCTGTGCATGTGAACAATCTGAATAATTTTCTACAGTTTGAACTATTTTAGTATTATGTCAAAGCATACTGAAGATGAGAGTGCTTTTCATTATGCCCAACAGTGTGTAGTTGGTTAGACAAACATCTGGTAATATGAATGAAGTGTGTGCCATTTGGTGCAAAGTTTGATTTTGATAAAGCTATATGTAGTTTTGGTTGCAGTGCTTCATTTTGCAGGATATATGAGGGATTTTGCAGTTTGGGTGTGTGGTTTTGGGAAAAGTGTTTAGTATTTTGATAAAACCAGCCTAGTTTGCAAAATTGTGTTTTAGCAATTAGAAAAAACTGTAATAAATGCTTATCAGCTGTTTCAATATATATTTTGAACTTCTTTTGTTGCAGAAGTAGAGGCTTCATGGAATATTTAAGGTTTTGTTCATAAGGTCTTTATTTCTGACATGTTGTGTGTAAGCATTTGTAAATAACACAAAAAACATCCATAGTTTTGGTATTGGGTGAGCTTGTACGTAAAGAAAAACTTAGCATTGCAGAAATGGGTCAATTGACTGCATATTCTGTGGAAACAACATGAATTGTGTTAATTGTATGGGATGAACAGACCAATGTGGGGCTAACTGTGTTTAGAGTTTTGAAAATGTGACTACAGATTGGGCAAAAAGATGTTAGCAATTGAAAAAAACCTGTAATGTTATTATTACACCTGTGCTTTACCTGCTTTGATCAGTCAAAATGTTTGTAATAGAATATTTATTTTTATTTCTTAGTGTTTAAATTTAATTTGAAATTCATATTTAAGCCAGTTTAGTTTTCAACAAACTTACATACACTACATAATTTGAATGACCTTGTGTTTATATGAAAATACACAATTTATGTTATAATTTGAATACAAACTGCTGATAGTGATCCTGTGATGACATAATATGTTGATAATATCCGATTTTATCTTTCAAATACAATGCTTTCTTCCCAGAGTTTGCAGTTTCATCAGATTCATTTTACTTTCTGTAAACTTGTGAAACAATTTTAATATTAAAGTTTCTACCAATGACACACTTCATTAATAAGACAAATACAACATCTTCCTTAATATTTTATCGATCAGCTTTGTTCCTAAAAAATAAATTCATGATTAATGTAATAAGGAAGTTTATGTAATCACAAATGCTTTAAAGAATCTGGAGTAAAGGATTAAATTACTTTAATAATGTCTCTGTCACAATAACTTCTCATTAAGGATTATCGCATTACTTTTATGTTTTCTAAATATCGAGAAAAGATATTAAACATTTCTACGTTGTAGTCTTTCTCAGGACATTGCCTAAAATTGAATTCAATGTTTGTGGATTTAATAGAACTTTGAAGACAGCAACATCAGTTTACATCAACATACATGACAACAAATTATTTGATGAACTGGTCTTTATTGTGTTGAAATAATCAAAAAAACAAATTTATTCAATGAAACATGTAATCAGAGAGTGGGAGGAGGTAAAGAAAGATTTAGACAGATAATGAGCGAGTGCAGACTGAGAGCAGTAGCAGAGTAAAACCAGTAGTAGTAGTCCCAGTGAGTCAGGTCAGAACTGGGAACACTGGTCTCTCCTCAGTGTCTCTGAGAGCGGAGTCTGGGAGCCCTGGGTGGCCTCACAGGTCACAGAGCCCACCTTCCTCCAGTGGTCTGCAGAGAGCCTCAGGGTGCTGCTCCAGCTGTAGTGGCCGTCCTTCAGCACCCCGGGGCTCCTGCTCTCCTCCCAGCTGCTGCTGCTGCTGCTGCTGCTGCCGTCCACCTTCCAGGACAGACTCCAGTCTGAGGGGAAGCCCTTGTTGGCCAGACACATGAGCGTGGCCTTCCCCTGCTGCAGCTCCTTACTGGAGGGGGGCAGCACCGTCAGGGTGGGACGGACATCACCTAGGAGACACCAATCAGCTTAGAGGACAGGGACCACACAGCTGTCAATCAAGAAGCAGACACTTGGACACCTTTACTGTGTGAGAGTTGATTTTCTCCTTTAAGGAGTTTCTGTCAGATGGTTTTTCTGCTCCACCAGTCACTCACTCACACATTGTTTCACTTCCCTTTAAGAAGCCTCTCATGCATATCAGCACAGAGAGAATCATCATACAGAATAAGCTGAAATATATCAAACTACACTGGAAATAAAATATCAAAAACTGTATCATCAAAATCATCCAAAACCTGAACTATACATTACTTTAAAGTATTTAGTGGAAACATGAACAAACACAGAAAATGAACTGACTACAATCAAATGTTCTTCATGTGGATTTCAATCGTCATTACCAAACTGTAACTTTAAAACAATATATAACACTATTAAGAGATTTTGAATGTTTACTCATCTTTATCTTCACTACGTTCAATTTGACTATAATAATTTTATCTGAATTAATTTAAAAACAGTTATTTCTGATATCAAAAAGTAAAAGTGAATCTTAAAAATGAAACATTTGTACAAAAAGTTTAGCAGTTTTATCTTTTCTACACTTCAAGCTGTTTGAATTTCAGTTTGACAGGAATGTGTAAAGAACAAAGAGTTAGTCCCCATGATGAAGGAGGACAAGTACAAATATGAATACTTCAAGTGTTAAAATTAAAACAAGATATATCTGTCTGCTTCAGACATATAAAAACTGAATTTAAAACATTACTTTACAATATTGTATTTAGTATTTGTACAGAAACTTACTTCCAACTTCCAGTCTGGTTCCTCCACCAAAAGTCAACCACAGTGATACAAACGCCGTACAAAAACCTCTCACTGTAGAGAGACACGGCTCTCTGACTTTGACACACTGAACTAAACCTACAAACCCTCAAGATGAAGCTTTACCATTAAAGTTGGAAATAATGATTCATATTCTGTCTTGATATTTTAAATTGACTTCAATGAGGTTTTGAATTTATATTCCTGATGCAAAGTTTGTCTCTGAGTGTAAAATATTTCTGCAGAAGATATACATTAATATGAAAAATCAAGAATTCTTCCTGAAATATATATAAAAAGACAAATATGTCCTGAAATGATAAAAAAATTAAAGATTTGACTTACTTCCAACATCCAGTCTGGTTCCTCCACCAAAAGTCCACCACAGTGATACAAACTCATTGAGCCGCCGTACAAAAACCTCTCACTGTAGAGAGACACGGCTCTCTGACTTTGACACAAACAAACTCAGCAAGCGCATTCCCAGTTTACCCAGTTCATCTAATAACTGGTTAAAGTGTCTAAAAAATAAACTATGAATATATATTTAATCTTTTTTGTATGATAAAAGCTGTATTAATTCATGTTACATTGAAACGATGAAACAAGATATTTCTAAGTAAAAGTCTCCAATAAATGATGACAAATGTAAATAATGATCATAAACATATGTTTATTGTATATTATGATGAATATAAAATAAATAATAGATAATATATTTGTTTAAATGTGTCCCACAGTGATGTTGATCTGTGTGGTAGTGAATTAGGGGAATTCACTAAATATTCTGGAAGAAAATGTGTCCATCAAACTGAAACCAAAGCCTCATACAAATGAGCACTGACACATTCCTAATCAATACTCTGATAAAGTGATTGATCCATTGATAAACAGCATCATGAGAGGAATCCAAGTCCCTGTTGGAGTCAGTCAGAGCATTTCCATAGAGAGCCACTTTGCATCAGCAGCACCATGCTCCAGTGCTCTGGGAGAGTTTATAGTCCTGAGAGTTGAACACTGGATGACTGACAGCTGTCCTTCATGACAACAGAAGACACAGAAATCCTCCTCATCAAAAACATGACTTTGATCTCCGTCCTCATCTGGACTCTCCTCTGCTGCTGCTTCACAGGTAAAGTCCAGAGAATCAAACTCCTCTCCTCTATGAACATCCGTCCCTCTGAAATGAAGCCCACAAAACCATGACGCTGCTTTATGTTTTTGTCTCTGTATCCTCAGAGTCCAGAGGCCAGGTCACAGTGACTCAGTCTGGAGCAGTGAGCTCTGCTCTGGGACGCTCCGTCACCATCACATGTAGGATCAGTCAGGATGTATATTATAGTAGCCCATACCACCTTTTAGCTTGGTACCAACAGAGAGATGGAGAAACTCCTAAACTGCTCATTTATGCTGCTAGCACTCGAGCATCAGGGATTCCAGGTCGTTTTACAGGCAGTGGATCAAACTCTGACTTCACTCTGACCATCAGTGGAGTCCAGACTGAAGATGCAGCAGTTTACTACTGTCAGAGTTTTCATGACATCAACAGTCAGGCTGTGTTCACACAGTGAAAAAGCGTCGTACAAAAACCTCCCTCAGTCAGACTGAACAGAAACTGAACTGACTGCTGCAGCTGGAAGCTACTGCAGAGACTGATACACTTCACTGAGGACACACACACACACACACACACACACACACACACACACACACACACACACACACAAACACAGACACAATAAACATTTATTAAAATTGACAAAAGAATAATCTCACAGTAAATCGAATTACATTCTCCATCACAGCTTCTTTCAAAATCCCATGTTCCCAGGGAGAATGAATGAGAAAATTCTTGATTTTGACCTTTGACCTCTGATTTATACTGGAGTACAGATTCTTCAACTTCATCCTGTCATTAAATAATAAAAGGACACCAATCAGAAATCTTCATTACCAAAGATTGACCAAACAAACCCGTAGGCCTACATCCCCATTTCACTCAGTATTGATTGAATAGACTTTTGTTTATTAAAGAAAATCTCATTATGACTGGAATCCTAACATTAGAATACCTCTATGATATAATTATATCTGCATACAGTATATTTCAATACAATTATCTTTAACTGCATAAAACATGCAAAAATACATTTTCTCTAACATGCAACACAAAAACACTGTATAAAGGTGAATTCTTTACCTTGAAAACAATTTTAAAAAATATTTGTGGAACATCCATCCACTAACTGGAACTGTAAATCATATCACATGATCTTCTTCAGCGGATGGAGTCTCCCGGTTGTCATTCAATTGTAGTTGTTCGAATTCCCATTTCTGTGAGCATTTTTAGAACTTCTTGTACATGTTGGCTTCTATTCCATCACAACTTGGTGAACTCCATCTGCTGAGGAAGACCATGTAGTTAAATCACAAGCTCCAAAACAGCTACTGAGAAATGGTTTTGATTGTTACCCATAAACTATCAGTTGCAACTTTTCAGTAAACATCTACCAGAAATCCTTAAAGTGCAACATAAAGACCTTCAGAATACTCACATTACTGCTCACAGCTGTAACTACAAGATGTTTCAATATCCTCTACAGGTAAATATGTAAATATGTAGGACAATGCTCTCAGCACTGAGGGGGAAACACCATGATATGTTGAGGACAGCTACAGTTCACTGACTCTGTGTGTTTGCATATGTGTCCTTCCTCTCTGCTCCCAGCCGTTAAGAGGCCAGTGTTGATCAGTGGCTGTCCAGGCCTTTCAGAGCCACTGACACGCCGGCAGCACAATGAGGATGTCACTGACTCTACTGCTGGCCACCCTGGGGCTCCTTGTTCAGGGTGAGACTCTCTTCTGAAAACTTTGCTTCAGGATGCAACCAGGTTCACCACAATGATGTTCTGCTATGATGGAGAAACACTGAAACAAGCAGCATTTACCTTCTTCCATCTATTCTCCATGTTAAAGAAATGATACTCTTCTGTTTGGATGTTGATCATCTTTCTCCAAACTGGATTTGTCTCAATAACCCTTCTCCTCTTTTTCATGTTTTCCAGATTCATCAGGAGAAATCATCCTGACTCAGTCTCCTAAAGCTCAGTCTGTTGTTCCAGGACAGACTGTCTCTATCAGATGTAAAGCCAGTTCAGGTGTTACCAATGATTTGCAGTGGTACCTTCAGAAACCTGGAGAAGCTCCTAAACTCCTCATTTATAATGCTCAGTCCCGTCAGTCTGGAGTTTCAGAGCGTTTCAGTGGGAGTCAGTCTGGAACTGACTTCACTTTGACCATCAGTGGAGTTCAGACTGAAGATGCAGGAGTTTATTACTGTCAGCAGGATTACAGCAGACCGTTCACACAGTGAAAAAGTGTCATACAAAAACCTCCCTCAGCTGAGAGGAACTGATCTGAATCAACAGCTGCATGGAAACTAAATGGCAACAAGATACAACTAAAACACACCTCATAATTACATGTAGTTCTAATAATGTGGCATTTAAAATAATCAATCACATTTTCATTTTTTTTCGCACGTTATTTTTTTTAGGCAAAGATAAATGTTTTAACCTTTGCATTTGATACAACTGATGTCAAGTCTCTCATCAGACAGGTTTATACAGATATGTTAGTTACTGTAATTATATCTAGAGATTAATATTTTCCCACAATGCATTGTACATCTACAGTAGCTGAACACAGTTTACAGAGTAACAAACTCTCTTTATATATGTGTAGCACCCCAACACTCAGTAAATGCCTATGTTAAAGGAACTCACCTTGGACTTGAATGATGGGGTGTTTGGGTTCGATTCATTAAGGTAGCTACCACGAAGGTTTACCTGTTTTGTGTGCAACTTTTTATAGCCTAATACTTTATGAATAACCAACAACACTGTTAGACTAAGCAGTGGCTCTATTCACACATACTGTACATTATTTTAAATAACTGACCCCAGACAACTCTTTCAAATAAATGCAATAATATTTTACTAACCAGTGGTTTGCAGTGTAACACAGATAATATTTACTTTGTTAGTTAAGAAGAAACAAAAATGAAATAACACAATTACCCAAATTAGACTTCTTTAAAATTAAAATATTATAGTTGAAATACTAAATTGTAAACGAAATACCCTTTACCAAAATTGGCAAAACACTGTAGAAAATCAGACACTTGTAATAAGCAAAATAGATTTGGCAATATCAAAATACTATTCAAAACTTAAATTATCTCAGGTCTCTAACATTCCTAATTCTTACCACTTTAATATGATTTACCTGTACTCATCAGACTCAGATCAAATGCTACTTAACTAAACTCTAAACAAAACAGTGGGCCCACACACACACACACACACACACACACACACACACACACACACACACACACACTGTATATAACTAATATAATGTTAATAATGTATATATCTTTCATATTGTGTATTGTCTGAATATTTTGACTTATTGTATTGTATTTTGATGCTTTTGCTTTGGCAAAAACTTTCATGCCAATAAAGCCCATTTTGAATTGAATTTGAATTGAATTGAGAGCAGTTTGGTAGTCAGCCCATGCATGTTCAGCCTGTATATTTTAGATTTCTTTTCATTCCAGTTTTGCAGGTTTGACCAAGTCTTCAGCAGATGAGGTTAAATATCTTCAATCAAATGTTTGAGAGAGATTTAGCTGTCTAGATTTAACTAGAAAGAGTTTCCAACATATGTCAGCATTTTTTTATGAACATTAATATGTTGTTGTGCACATACACATTATTCACAAAAAGTGTCCAGTATGGGGAAACCCAATGAAACAGCATGTGTGCACATTTTTCACTCATGCTATGTTATTTATTATTTTTAGCTATTTTTCCCAGATTGTATTAACTATCAACAATGATATGAAAATCTTATTCTGACATTGGTTATAATCCTGCACATGTGAAAATATGGAATAAGATATCTGTTGTTGGTAAACATCCATGAAAAATTATTTGATCTAAAGATAGAAAATATCTTTTGATTGATGTATAGCATTAACAGCATTGGCATTATTGGGACAATGAAAATGTCATAATCTGAAGTTCAAATTTGTTCAAATTTGTTCAAATGGTGGAATGATAGAAAGTGCAGATTTAAGGCTGTAGCAAGGTAAAAACAGAAGCAGAGTCCCAGTGAGTCCGGTCAGTACTGAGAACATGGTCTCTCATACATTTCCATAGAGAGCCACTTTGCATCAGCAGCACCATGCTCCAGTGCTCTGGGAGAGTTTATAGTCCTGAGAGTTGAACACTGGATGACTGACAGCTGTCCTTCATGACAACAGAAGACACAGAAATCCTCCTCATCAAAAACATGACTTTGATCTCCGTCCTCATCTGGACTCTCCTCTGCTGCTGCTTCACAGGTAAAGTCCAGAGAATCAAACTCCTCTCCTCTATGAACATCCGTCCCTCTGAAATGAAGCCCACAAAACCATGACGCTGCTTTATGTTTTTGTCTCTGTATCCTCAGAGTCCAGAGGCCAGGTCACAGTGACTCAGTCTGGAGCAGTGAGCTCTGCTCTGGGACGCTCCGTCTCCATCACATGTAGGACCAGTCAGAATGTCTATACTTGGAGCAGCTACCATGAATTGGCCTGGTACCAACAGAGAGATGGAGAAACTCCTAAACTGCTTATCAATAGGGCAACATATCGAGCATCAGGGATTCCAGGTCGTTTTACAGGCAGTGGATCAAACTCTGACTTCACTCTGACCATCAGTGGAGTCCAGACTGAAGATGCAGCAGTTTACTACTGTCAGAGTGGTCATAGCATCAACAGTCAGGCTGTGTTCACACAGTGAAAAAGCGTCGTACAAAAACCTCCCTCAGTCAGACTGAACAGAAACTGAACTGACTGCTGCAGCTGGAAGCTACTGCCGAGACTGATACACTTCACTGAGGACACACACACTCACACTCTCACACACACACACACACACACACGCACACACATTTCATGATTTAGATTTAAACAGAATATTAGCTCAATGTATGTGCAAAATCAATACATATACAGTACACAGAAACAAACAATAGTAAATAATAATTATAAACAAAAAGTAATACATTTTCAAGTGTGGCACAAGATTGCCACACCATATCTCTCTGTGCCTTATTCCATTTAGTGAAAAGAATTTGATGGGATTTATCAGGCATTCAGGCTGTACTGACAGAGCAATCAAATGTAACATGTATGACACAATCCCATCAATTGTTCACAAAACTGTGGTGGGTAATGCATCACTGTGAGCTAAAATAATAAAGTCATATGAATCATTTACTGAGACACACTCTGTCTATATATGTTTAAGGATTTCAGACAGCAACACATACCAGCAGTTGATGACAAGACTTATTTAATGAGCTGATGCTTATTGACTGTAAATGTTGTCAACTCATGATAGTGAATCTGTACTCATTTTCATAATCTCAGAAAAAAGCCTTTCAGAGACGTGTATAACTTTATGCAGACGATATGCTGCTTTTTACATCTAATCCTTAAAATCCTCTTTAAAAAGGTTCTTTATTCATGCAGAGGTTTGAGGTAATTTCTAGGAACAGCTTGGGCCCTCGTTGCATATGAACCCTCATGAAAATCAGACATGAATGATGACATAATTGAGTGTTACTGAATTTATTTAAACATATTAACAAGGTTCAATAAAGCAGATGGAAATGATAACAGAAGGAGAACATGTTGCCAAGTCATGAGAGTATTCAAGATAATCATGTAAAAAAAAATTTATACAGTTGCTGTTATTGTGATACTGCATAGATGAATCTTTCTAATGTTTCTTGTTTTTAAACATATATGATATATGGCAAACCTAATGATACGTAAGACATGATGCATGAATAATGATCTCATGGACACTATTGATTTGATAACATTTTAATTATTTTTAAATTTTGACACAATCAACTTAAAAGCAAGCAAGAAAGAGCAGTTTGGTAGTCAACCCATGCATGTTCAGCATGTATATTTTAGATTTCTTTTCATTCCAGTTTTGCAGGTTTGACCAAGTCTTCAGCAGATGAGGTTGAATATCCTCAATCACATGTTTGAGAGAGATTTAGCTGTCTAGATTTAACTAGAAAGAGTTTCCAACATAAGTCAGTTGTTTTTTATAAACATTAATATGAACATCCACATAAGTTGTTGTGCACATACACGTTAAACACAAAAAGTGTCCAGTATGGGGAAACCTGACGACACAGGTTGTGTGCACATTTTTTACTCATGCTATGTTACTTTTATTTTTATCTTTTTTTCATAGATTGTATTAACTATCAACAATGATATGAAACTCTTATTTTGACATTGGTTATAATCCTGCAAATGTGAAAATACGGAATAAGACATATGTTGTTGGTAAACAGGGATCCATGAAAAATTATTTGACCACCGAAAGAAAATATCTTTTGATTGATGTATTTGTTAAAATGGTGGAATGATAGAAAGTGCAGATTTAAGGCTGTAGAAAGGTAAAATAGAAGCAGAGTCCCAGTGAGTCCGGTCACTACTGAGAACATAGTCTCTCATACATTTCCATAGAGAGCCACTTTGCATCAGCAGCACCATGCTCCAGTGCTCTGGGAGAGTTTATAGTCCTGAGAGTTGAACACTGGATGACTGACAGCTGTCCTTCATGACAACAGAAGACACAGAAATCCTCCTCATCAAAAACATGACTTTGATCTCCGTCCTCATCTGGACTCTCCTCTGCTGCTGCTTCACAGGTAAAGTCCAGAGAATCAAACTCCTCTCCTCTATGAACATCCGTCCCTCTGAAATGAAGCCCACAAAACCATGACGCTGCTTTATGTTTTTGTCTCTGTATCCTCAGAGTCCAGAGGCCAGGTCACAGTGACTCAGCCTGGAGCAGTGAGCTCTGCTCTGGGAGGCTCCGTCACCATCACATGTAGGACCAGTCCGAACGTTTATAGTAATAACTATTTACACTGGTACCAACAGAGAGATGGAGAAACTCCTAAACTGCTCATTTATGGTACTAACAATCGAACATCAGGGATTCCAGGTCGTTTTACAGGCAGTGGATCAAACCCTGACTTCACTCTGACCATCAGTGGAGTCCAGACTGAAGATGCAGCAGTTTACTACTGTCAGAGTGTTCATAGCATCAACAGTCAGAATGTGTTCACACAGTGAAAAAGCGTCGTACAAAACCTCCCTCAGTCAGACTGAACAGAAACTGAACTGACTGCTGCAGCTGGAAGCTACTGCAGAGACTGATACACTTCACTGAGGACACACACACACACACACACACACACACACACACACACACACACATTGCATAATTTAGATTAAAACAGAATATTTGCTCAATGTATGTATAAAATCAATGCATGTACAGTATGCAGAAACAAAAGATAATAATTATGATCAAATTAGCAAAACATTTCAAGTTTGGCACAAGATTGCCACACCATATCGCTCTGTGCCTTATTCCATTTAGTAAAAAAATTTGGTGGGATTCATCAGGCATTCAGTTTCTCATGTTGGTGAATCTGTAGTCATTTTCATAATCTTCTAAAAAAAAGCAAATCAGAGACACTGTATATATCTTTATGCAGACGATATGCTGCTTTTTACATCTAATCCTTAAAATCTTTAAAAAGGTTCTTGATTCATGCCGAGGTTTGGGGTAGTTTCTATGAACAGCTTGAGCCCTCGTTGCATATGAACCCTCATGAATATCAGACATGAATGGTAACATAATTAAGTGATACTGAATTGAAATTATCTAAACATATTAACAATGTTTATTAAAGCAGATAGAAGTGACATTAGAAGGAGAACATTTTGCCAAGTTATGAGACTATTCAAGATAATCTAGAAAAACAGTATACATTTGCTGTTATTGTGATGCTGCACAGATGAATCTTTGTAATGTTTCTAAACATATATGATATATGGCGAAGCTAATGATACGTAAGAAATAATTCATGAATAATGATCTCATGGAGACTGTTGATTTGATAACATTTGTATTATGTTTAAATTTTGACACAGTCAACTTAAAAACAAGCAAGAGAGAGAGAGAGAGAGAGAGAGAGAGAGAGAGAGAGACAAAGAGAGAGAGAGAGAGAGAGAGAGAGAGAGAGAGAGAGAGAGTGTATTGCACAGTGCAGACTGAGAGCAGTAGCAGAGTAAAACCAGTATCAGAGTCCCAGTGAGTCAGGTCAGAACTGGGAACACTGGTCTCTCCTCAGTGTCTCTGAGAGCGGAGTCTGGGAGCCCTGGGTGGCCTCACAGGTCACAGAGCCCACCTTCCTCCAGTGGTCTGCAGAGAGCCTCAGGGTGCTGCTCCAGCTGTAGTGGCCGTCCTTCAGCACCCCGGGGCTCCTGCTCTCCTCCCAGCTGCTGCTGCTGCTGCTGCCAAAGCCTCATACAAATGAGCACTGACACATTCCTAATCAATACTCTGATAAAGTGATTGATCCATTGATAAACAGCATCATGAGAGGAATCCAAGTCCCTGTTGGAGTCAGTCAGAGCATTTCCATAGAGAGCCACTTTGCATCAGCAGCACCATGCTCCAGTGCTCTGGGAGAGTTTATAGTCCTGAGAGTTGAACACTGGATGACTGACAGCTGTCCTTCATGACAACAGAAGACACAGAAATCCACACACACACACACACACTACCAGTGAACATGTATTAAAACAAGCTCAGTGACAAAAAATAATCTTGCAGGAAATAAAATTACTTTCTCCCTCACAGTTTCTTATTATAAACACATGCTCTTATCTGGTTTGTAAAATTATCAAGAGAAGCCAATGAGAAAGTTAATGAAAGCTGTCTTGGTCATGACCTTTGACCTTTACTTAATCCTGGATCACAACTATTTCAACTACATCGAATTATCAAAGAATATAAGAAGACACACATCAGAAATTAATACCAATAAAAGGAAATAAAAAGACACAGATCAGAAACCTTCATCATCAAAGATAGACGAAACAAAACCTGTACACCCATTACATTTCACAATGTATTAATTTAATATGTAAACTTATATTGTATAAAATAAAGATCCACTGAAATCATAACAAGACAAAATACATAAGTAAAACAACCATATATAGAGCAAAGTCTGCGAGCTAGTTCAGGTAGTCAACTCGAGCTGTGCTGATATACACACGACATGTTTACTACACTACTCAAATAAACACAAAATCATTGAACTGAAACAGTTTGATTTATAAAGAGATAATGGACAATAAAACCTATTAAAATCAATAAAGTTCATCCTCACAGCTTCTCACCATCTATCCCACTCACCTGGCCATCCACAAGATATAAAAGAAAATGAGATTCATCAGACCAGGTCACCTTCTTCCATTGCTGTGTGGTCCAGTTCTGATGCTCACGTGCCCATTGTAGGCACTACTTGATGCTTGGCCATTGTTCTGTGAGTTCTTTGGTTGTTTGAACTGTGTACCTTTCTAATGCAGGATGAAGCCGTTAATCAGAGAGTTAAACCTCTGTGAATATAACTTTTGTGAAAGTCCTAATTACTAATAAGTTTAGATCTTAAATAATAATCTAAACTTCAAAAATAACAATTATACAGAAACAATCATGAAGTTTTCTTCACAGAAATAAACAAAATGCTGACATATAGGCTTACTGTGCATACTTTCAAAGTTTTCTTACACACTTTAAAATTATGGACTCGCATGAGACTTTGGCGACACCTAGTGGGGTCTCAACCCCCAGGTTGGAAACCACTGCAGTAGGCCCATCCTAAGACCAAACCACCATCACTCCTCTGGTAATGGCCTCAAGGTCCCAGTAATTTTAATATCTCTGAATGAAAATGAATGTCTACTTTATTATCAGTTCAGGCTTTAATTAATAAATAATGCACAATATAAAAACAATAAATATTGAAAAAAATTGCAAATGAACATAAACATTAATAACTAAATTAATATGTAACTTTTAAACAAATAACAATAAGCAGTTTAAAAACTGTGCATCTGAGTAAAGAGAATGATGTGCTCATGTCTGTAAGGGTTGAGGGCTTTGTATTATGTTACTATGCCATAACTGCACTAGAGTGCATGGTGACCCCTGCTGGTCAGAGGTCACAAAACAGTTGCTTATAATGCATGCATTATATATTTCTATTTTACTTTGTGCAGAATGCAGAAACATTCATTCATATTTTAGTGTTGGATTCATCTTTATTTTATTGATCTACTTTACTTTAGTTGTATGTCCTCATTCTGGAGCTATACGCTGAAGAATTTCACTGTTTGTTGTATTGTGTATGTTTATATATGTGACAATAAAACTTGATCTCATTTGTGAGTGGGATTCAAACACAGTCAGAGTTTGATGTCAACTCTTTCAACAGGCAGGTTAATATCATTGATAATACAGCTGTTGTTTTTTTTAACTTAAAATTATTTTCTCAGGGTTTTGTGAGATTCTTCTTCTGATAAATCTAATAAACATGTCCAGTGTTGAGCTGAAACACTTAATTCATACTCAGTTACTTTTCTGATCCTGATCACTTCATTAAGTATACTAAGTGTCTTTTTTCATTTTAACAAATTCAAAGAATTTAATCATTTCTTTTATTTTGCTGTTGGGCTTGAGGATTTGCAAATCACTAAATATGAATGTTTTTAAAATTAAAATTAAAGCAAATGATTCCCTCTGTGTCATATCCCTTTATACTACTGTTGTTCAGACTGTTTTATATTTATCCAAAGGTCATTTTACACACATCCTGTGTATTTTCCCACATTAATCCATCCTGCATTATTGTACCATTCGGGGAGAGTGGGGGTAAGATGAGCCATTTCTCATATTTAGGATCACTACATCAAGGCAATCATAGTTTTGTTGCTAACTAATATATCTGCATATATTTTAGGATGTTGTGAATCCCTTCAAACAAACAGAATGAGTGTAAACATAACTGTTTGGATAATATAGCATGTCCAAAAAAGTGGTCTTGTGGCTCAACTTACCCCGTGTATGGGGTAAATTGAGCATAGGAGCGGGGTAAGTTGAGCAGTATCCCTACTCCCTCCCGGACCCTCCTCCCCACCTCCACCCCACCCCTCCCTCATCTTCTCCCTCCCTAAATAACACTCATTTCTGCACATTCATGTTCACGTTTTACTGCTAAACAGCTGTTTTGTGAAAAAACATTTTAACATGAGAATGCCTTAAAGTGCGCTTCGGAAGAAAACATTAACAGCTGTGTTTTTGGAATATACACAGAATATGTTTTTGGATACTCTTATTGAGTGTATTTTGGCTGTAGCCACCGGCTCAACTTACCCCTGGCCAAATGGCTCAACTTACCCCAGAGCTACCATTTTGACTTTATTAGTCCCCACAGCTAAAATGGTGCACTTTTATGCTAGGTTTATGAGCTCATGTTGTAGCTCATAGATACCACAATTGATGTATAAAACAAATTTAAAATGATCTTCTTTGGTCTAAACACAATTCTCATGAAACTTATGATAGACTCAATTCACTTTCAAGAGTGAAAAATGATTTTTTGGAAATAAATATCTAACCACTTTACCCATGTGGTTCTTACATTCACAGACTCCATGAAATGAAGCCTTCCTCCTAAATATTTGGTCACATGATCAATGTTTTTTATCATTTCCTAGCAACAAGGGGTGGCTCAACTTACCCTTTGGCTCAACTTACCCCACTCTCCCCTATGTCAGAATTGTTCAATAAAATGACCACAGCCAAATACAAAATATCCCTCATTGTGCTTTAATATTAATTAAATAATTGCAGATGTACAATAGAATGAGACTTCTGTTTAAATAATAATATTCTTCCCTTTGCTGCAGCTCCTCACTGGAGGGGGGCAGCACCGTCAGGGTGGGGACGACTCGACCCACTGCAGAGAGAGAGAGAGAGAGAGAGAGAGAGAGAGAGGGAGGGAGAGAGAGAGAGAGGGAGGGAGAGAGAGGGAGAGGGAGGGAGAGAGAGAGAGGGAGAGAGAGAGAGATAGAGAGAGAGAGAGAGAGGGGGAGGGAGAGAGAGGGAGAAGACATTTTGGAGAAGCTTAGAATTTAGTTGAAAATGATTTTAAATGTTTCACTTCCCTCTCTGAACTCAGTCGCCAAGGCAACAGACAGGCATCACTGCTGAACCATGGCAACAGACAGGTTTCAGTACTAAAGATAAAATGTTACAGTGGCACATTGTTCCTCTGATGTATTAATGTTTAATCTGCAAATTCATTTAAAAACAAAGTTATGTATTCAAACTCATTAAATCAAACCTACTCACAGTTAAATATATGTTTTAATAGTGATGTTTTAAGATTATTGTGACATATAATGTGTGAAATATTTAAATCTTCTAGAAATATCAAGTAAAACCGCTGAACAATTGTTGGTCCTGTATTTGGAGTGAAATATTTAAACTTTTAAGAATATTTTCGTAAGACAAAATACTTTTTGGTAAACTTTATATGTAGAAGCTGTTAGAAAAATCCATTACAGTGACATGAAATATATTAACCCAAAGCAAAGCCTCATACAAATGAGCACTGACACATTCCTAATCAATCCTCTGATAAAGTGATTGATCCATTGATAAACAGCATCATGAGAGGAATCCAAGTCCCTGTTGGAGTCAGTCAGAGCATTTCCATAGAGAGCCACTTTGCATCAGCAGCACCATGCTCCAGTGCTCTGGGAGAGTTTATAGTCCTGAGAGTTGAACACTGGATGACTGACAGCTGTCCTTCATGACAACAGAAGACACAGAAATCCTCCTCATCAAAAACATGACTTTGATCTCCGTCCTCATCTGGACTCTCCTCTGCTGCTGCTTCACAGGTAAAGTCCAGAGAATCAAACTCCTCTCCTCTATGAACATCCGTCCCTCTGAAATGAAGCCCACAAAACCATGACGCTGCTTTATGTTTATGTCTCTGTATCCTCAGAGTCCAGAGGCCAGGTCACAGTGACTCAGTCTGGAGCAGTGAGCTCTGCTCTAGGAGGCTCCGTCACCATCACATGTAGGACCAGTCAGAATGTTTATGGTGGGAGCTATTTAGCCTGGTACCAACAGAGAGATGGAGAAACTCCTAAACTCCTCATTTATACAACTAGCACTCGAGCATCAGGGATTCCAGGTCGTTTTACAGGCAGTGGATCAAACTCTGACTTCACTCTGACCATCAGTGGAGTCCAGACTGAAGATGCAGCAGTTTACTACTGTCAGAGTTATCATGAAATCAACAGTCAGAGAGTGTTCACACAGTGAAAAAGCGTCGTACAAAAACCTCCCCCAGTCAGACTGAACAGAAACTGAACTGACTGCTGCAGCTGGAAGCTACTGCAGAGACTGATACACTTCACTGAGGACACACACACACACACACACACACACACACACACACACACTAAACAGTCTGCAGGAGAACAGTGGAAATGAACCTGTATATGGTACTGAACTGATAGAGGGAATAGACACTTTTCATGGCAGACATTTTGACTTGCCAAAGCAGGAAAAGCACAGGTGTATTTATTACATTAATGATGGCTGCATTACATTTAGGTGAACCAGTCTCAGAGCTCTGGTTCTGTGCATGCTCACTCACTGAAAGGCCTTACTGGGACACTGAATGAAACAGAGCCAGTGTTACAGTTTTCTTCAATTGCTAACAAGCGTTTACCTAAACTTAAGAGACTTTATCGAAACTCTTAACACAGCAACACACCTACCTCACACTTTTAGCCAAATAGTACATTTTCTGCTCAAAACCACATTTCGTTATTTAAACACCAACTCTACATCTCAAAATGCAAAAACATTCTCTATATACACAAACTCTATCAAAACACAGCAAACCTGACTCAAAATCAAATCATTCTGTTAAAACACTAGCACGTTTTCTTTCCAAGAGGAACAGATCAATCAATCATAGCACAACAACTTTCTAAATACAAACAGTTGATAGCATTACAAAAACTCCATAACTTTTCATGCTCTACCTGCAAACAGTAGACAATGAGAAATCCATTGTTGTTTTTAATTCAGTTTCATTTTACTGTAAACCACCCTACATTTTTGGCTTGAAGGTCAAATGTGTGCATTTTTGGCAACAAACTACGCAAAAGTGAATGAGTCATCTTTACTTTCTAGAATGTACAGTAGAAAAAATTGTAAGCGACAAAATTGCAGAAGTTAAAGCTTTACAATATTATCAACATGAAATTGCAGCCAGTGATCAACAAATAATCCAAACTATGTGTCCTTTGGTTCAAAATGTGTCAAAATACTGTCAGATACACAATTTGACAACAAAAAAAGAGGCACAGATGGGAAAGAAACAAAAATGTACAGTCCTGTTCTAATCCATACGATCTTCAGCATCTGGCGCATGTTCTCATCCTCATCACATCTAATGTCATCTCTCGCTATGCACCTTGGATAGAAACGCTTGGCATGCCTTATCCACCTCTGGCCCTCTTCCTCTCCCTAGCCCAACTATTCGTCTTCCTTATCCAGACATTATTATTTCTTTCTCTTCTCATCTGTGTTGCTCTGTATCCACATTGAATAAACTCAGTCCAGAAAGTCCCCTTTATACTGCATTGTGTATGTCATTGAAAGAACTTCCACACCTGGCTATGTCTTTGATTGAGATTGGAATTAGCTGTGGTTGATCTATTTTACCCTAATTACAAAAAATCAGCTATTTCTCAATGTTTCATTGATATGTTTATTACGGTTTTTTTTCCAATTGCTAACACACTAAAATGACATGCATAGCACAATTCTTTAAAGTGACACACAGAGAGCAAAACCTCTTCTCAAGTCTCCAAAACTCTAAACACATTTTCTGCTTTACACACATTTTTAAATGCACTGAACACGGTTCTCTGCATAAGACACAACAATCTGACATAAAGTCACATGTTCACATTTCAAAACACTGCCAATCAAAAAGACACTACATGAGCTGATTGGCCAATATATGTGCCACCTGGCCAAACACCTCAATGGTTCATTGTTAGTGCATATGTTGCACTGACTTGTTTGGTGAAAAATAAAAAAATAAATGTTTCAACAGAGTGTGTGTGTGTGTGTGTGTGTGTGTGTGTGTGTGTGTGTGTGTGTGTATCTGCAAATATTTCTGTGCATGTGAACAATCTGAATAATTTTCTACAGTTTGAACTATTTTAGTATTATGTCAAAGCATACTGAAGATGAGAGTGCTTTTCATTATGCCCAACAGTGTGTAGTTGGTTAGACAAACATCTGGTAATATGAATGAAGTGTGTGCCGTTTGGTGCAAAAGTTTGATTTTGATAAAGCTATATGTAGTTTTGGTTGCAGTGCTTCATTTTGCAGGATATATGAGGGATTTTGCAGTTTGGGTGTGTGGTTTTGGGAAAAGTGTTTAGTATTTTGATAAAACCAGCCTAGTTTGCAAAATTGTGTTTTAGCAATTAGAAAAAACTGTAATAAATGCTTATCAGCTGTTTCAATATATATTTTGAACTTCTTTTGTTGCAGAAGTAGAGGCTTCATGGAATATTTAAGGTTTTGATCATAAGGTCTTTATTTCTGACATGTTGTGTGTAAGCATTTGTAAATAACACAAAAAACATCCATAGTTTTGATATTGGGTGAGCTTGTACGTACAGAAAAAATTAGCATTGTAGAAATGGGTCAATAGACTGCATATTCTGTGGAAACAACATGAATTGTGTTAATTGTATGGTATGAACAGACCAATGTGGGGCTAACTGTGTTTAGAGTTTTGAAAATGTGACTACAGATTGGGCAAAAAGATGTTAGCAATTGAAAAAAACTGTAATGTTATTATTACACCTGTGCTTTACCTGCTTTGATCAGTCAAAATGTATGTAATAGAATATTTATTTTTATTTCTTAGTATTTAAATTTAATTTGAAATTCATATTTAAGCCAGTTTAGTTTTCAACAAACTTACATACACTACATAATTTGAATGACCTTGTGTTTATATGAAAATACGCAATTTATGTTATAATTTGAATACAAACTGCTGACAGTGATCCTGTGATGACATAATATGTTGATAATATCCGATTTTATCTTTCAAATACAATGCTTTCTTCCCAGAGTTTGCAGTTTCCTCAGATTCATTTTACTTTCTGTAAACTTGTGAAACCATTTTAATATTAAAGTTTCTACCAATGACACACTTCATTAATAAGACAAATACAACATCTTCCTTAATATTTTATCGATCAGCTTTGTTCCTAAAAAATAAATTCATGATTAATGTAATAAGGAAGTTTATGTAATCACAAATGCTTTAAAGAATCTGGAGTAAAGAATAAAATTACTTTAATAATGTCTCTGTCACAATGACTTCTCATTAAGGATTATCTCATTACTTTTATGTTTTCTAAAAATCGAGAACAGATATTAAACATTTCTACGTTGTAGTCTTTCTCAGGACATTACCTAAAATTGAATTCAATGTTTTTGGATTTAACAGAACTATTAAGTCTGCAACATCAGTTTACAGTAACACACATGACAACAAATTATTTGATGAACTGGTCTTTATTGTGTTGAAATAATCAAAAAAACAAATTTATTCAATGAAACATGTAATCAGAGAGTGAGAGAAGGTAAAGAAAGATTTAGACAGATAATCAGAGGGTGCAGACTGAGAGCAGTAGCAGAGTAAAACCAGTAGCAGAGTCCCAGTGAGTCAGGTCAGAACTGGGAACACTGGTCTCTCCTCAGTGTCTCTGAGAGCGGAGTCTGGGAGCCCTGGGTGGCCTCACAGGTCACAGAGCCCACCTTCCTCCAGTGGTCTGCAGAGAGCCTCAGGGTGCTGCTCCAGCTGTAGTAGCCGTCCTTCAGCACCCCGGGGCTCCTGCTCTCCTCCCAGCTGCTGCTGCTGCTGCTGCTGCCGTCCACCTTCCAGGACAGACTCCAGTCTGAGGGGAAGCCCTTGTTGGCCAGACACATGAGCGTGGCCTTCCCCTGCTGCAGCTCCTTACTGGAGGGGGGCAGCACCGTCAGGGTGGGACGGACATCACCTAGGAGACACCAATCAGCTTAGAGGACAGGGACCACACAGCTGTCAATCAGCCAGCAGACACTTGGACACCTTTACTGTGTGAGAGTTGATTTTCTCCTTTAAGGAGTTTCTGTCAGATGGTTTTTCTGCTCCACCAGTCACTCACTCACACATTGTTTCACTTCCCTTTAAGAAGCCTCTCATGCATATCAGCACAGAGAGAATCATCATACAGAATGAGCTGAAATATATCAAACTACACTGGAAATAAAATATCAAAAACTGTATCATCAAAATCATCCAAAACCTGAACTATACATTACTTTAAAGTATTTAGTGGAAACATGAACAAACACAGAAAATGAACTGACTACAATCAAATGTTCTTCATGTGGATTTCAATCATTATTACCAAACTGTAACTTTAAAACAATATCTAACACTATTAAGAGATTTTGAATGTTTAATCATCTTTATCTTCACTATGTTCAATTTGACTATAATAATTTTACCTGAATTAATTTAAAAACAGTTATTTCTGATATCAAAAAGTAAAAGTGAATCTTAAAAATGAAACATTTGTACAACAAGTTTAGCAGTTTTATCTTTTCTACACTTCAAGCTGTTTGAATTTCAGTTTGACAGGAATGTGTAAAGAACAAAGAGTTAGTCCCCATGATGAAGGAGGACAAGTACAAATATGAATACTTCAAGTGTTTAAATTAAAACAAACTATATCTGTCTGCTTCAGACATACAAAAACTGCATTTAAAACATTACTTTACAATATTGTATTTAGTATTTGTACGGAAACTTACTTTCAACATCCTGTCTGGTTCCTCCACCAAAAGTCAACCACAGTGATACAAACGCCGTACAAAAACCTCTCACTGTAGAGAGACACAGCTCTCTGACTTTGACACACTGAACTAAACCTACAAACCCTCAAGATGAAGCTTTACCATTAAAGTTGGAAATAATGATTCATATTCTGTCTTGATATTTTAAATTGACTTCAATGAGGTTTTGAATTTATATTCCTGATGCAAAGTTTGTCTCTGAGTGTAAAATATTTCTGCAGAAGATATACATTAATATGAAAAATCAAGAATTCTTCCTGAAATATATATAAAAACACAAATATGTCCTGAAATGATAAAAAAATTAAAGATTTGACTTACTTCCAACATCCAGTCTGGTTCCTCCACCAAAAGTCCACCACAGTGATACAAACTCATTGAGCCGCCGTACAAAAACCTCTCACTGTAGAGAGACACGGCTCTCTGACTTTGACACAAACAAAATCAGCAAGCGCATTCCCAGTTTACCCAGTTCATCTAATAACTGGTTAAAGTGTCTAAAAAATAAACTATGAATATATATTTAATCTTTTTTTTGTGAAATAAGCTTTATTAATTCGTCTTTCATTGGAACAATGAAAAAAGATATTTCTAAGTAAAAGTCTCCAATAAATGATGACAAATGTAAATAATGATCATAAACATATGTTTATTGTATATTATGATGAATATAAAATAAATAATAGATAATATATTTGTTTAAATGTGTCCCACAGTGATGTTGATCTGTGTGGTAGTGAATTAGGGGGAATCCACTAAATATTCTGGAAGAAAATGTGTCCATCAAACTGAAAGCAAAGCCTCATACAAATGAGCACTGACACATTCCTAATCAATACTCTGATAAAGTGATTGATCCGTTGATAAACAGCATCATGAGAGGAATCCAAGTCCCTGTTGGAGTCAGTCAGAGCATTTCCATAGAGAGCCACTTTGCATCAGCAGCACCATGCTCCAGTGCTCTGGGAGAGTTTATAGTCCTGAGAGTTGAACACTGGATGACTGACAGCTGTCCTTCATGACAACAGAAGACACAGAAATCCTCCTCATCAAAAACATGACTTTGATCTCCATCCTCATCTGGACTCTCCTCTGCTGCTGCTTCACAGGTAAAGTCCAGAGAATCAAACTCCTCTCCTCTATGAACATCCGTCCCTCTGAAATGAAGCCCACAAAACCATGACGCTGCTTTATGTTTTTGTCTCTGTATCCTCAGAGTCCAGAGGCCAGTACACAGTGACTCAGTCTGGAGCAGTGAGCTCTGCTCTGGGAGGCTCAGTCACCATCACATGTAGGACCAGTCCTAAGGTTTATACTTGGAGCAGCTACCACTATTTAGCTTGGTACCAACAGAGAGATGGAGAAACTCCTAAACTGCTCATTTATGCTGCTAGCACTCGAGCATCAGGGATTCCAGGTCGTTTTACAGGCAGTGGATCAAACTCTGACTTCACTCTGACCATCAGTGGAGTCCAGACTGAAGATGCAGCAGTTTACTACTGTCAGAGTTTTCACTATATCAACAGTCAGCATGTGTTCACACAGTGAAAAAGCGTCGTACAAAAACCTCCCTCAGTCAGACTGAACAGAAACTGAACTGACTGCTGCAGCTGGAAGCTACTGCAGAGACTGATACACTTCACTGAGGACACACACACACACACACACACACACACACACACACACACACACACACACACACACACACACACACACACAATAAACATTTATTAAAATTGACAAAAGAATAATCTCACAGTAAATCGAATTACATTCTCCATCACAGCTTCTTTCAAAATCCCATGTTCCCAGGGAGAATGAATGAGAAAATTCTTGATTTTGACCTTTGACCTCTGATTTATACTGGAGTACAGATTCTTCAACTTCATCCTGTCATTAAATAATAAAAGGACACCAATCAGAAATCTTCATTACCAAAGATTGACCAAACAAACCCGTAGGCCTACATCCCCATTTCACTCAGTATTGATTGAATAGACTTTTGTTTATTAAAGAAAATCTCATTATGACTGGAATCCTAACATTAGAATACCTCTATGATATAATTATATCTGCATACAGTATATTTCAATATAATTATCTTTAACTGCATAAAACATGCAAAAATACATTTTCTCTAACACTGTATAAAGGTGAATTCTTTACCTTGAAAACAATTTTAAAAAATATTTGTGGAACATCCATCCACTAACTGGAACTGTAAATCATATCACATGAGCTTCTTCAGCGGATGGAGTCTCCCGGTTGTCATTCAATTGTAGTTGTTCGAATTCCCATTTCTGTGAGCATTTTTAGAACTTCTTGTACATGTTGGCTTCTATTCCATCACAACTGGGTGAACTCTATCTGCTGAGGAAGACCATGTAGTTAAATCAAAAGCTCCAAAACAGCTACTGAGAAATGGTTTTGATTGTTACCCATAAACTATCAGTTGGAACTTTTCAGTCAACATCTACCAGAAATCCTGAAAGTGCAACATAAAGACCTTCAGAATACTCACATTACTGCTCACAGCTGTAACTACAAGATGTTTCAATATCCTCTACAGGTAAATATGTAAATATGTAGTACAATGCTCTCAGCACTGAGGGGGAAACACCATGATATGTTGAGGACAGCTACAGTTCACTGACTCTGTGTGTTTGCATATGTGTCCTTCCTCTCTGCTCCCAGCCGTTAAGAGGCCAGTGTTGATCAGTGGCTGTCCAGGCCTTTCAGAGCCACTGACACGCCGGCAGCACAATGAGGATGTCACTGACTCTACTGCTGGCCACCCTGGGGCTCCTTGTTCAGGGTGAGACTCTCTTCTGAAAACTTTGCTTCAGGATGCAACCAGGTTCACCACAATGATGTTCTGCTATGATGGAGAAACACTGAAACAAGCAGCATTTACCTTCTTCCATCTATTCTCCATGTTAAAGAAATGATACTCTTCTGTTTGGATGTTGATCATCTTTCTCCAAACTGGATTTGTCTCAATAACCCTTCTCCTCTTTTTCATGTTTTCCAGATTCATCAGGAGAAATCATCCTGACTCAGTCTCCTAAAGCTCAGTCTGTTGTTCCAGGACAGACTGTCTCTATCAGATGTAAAGCCAGTTCAGGTGTTAGCAATGATTTGCAGTGGTACCTTCAGAAACTTGGAGAAGCTCCTAAACTCCTCATTTATAAGGCTCAGTCCCGTCAGTCTGGAGTTTCAGAGCGTTTCAGTGGGAGTCAGTTCTGGAACTGACTTCACTTTGACCATCAGTGGAGTTCAGACTGAAGATGCAGGAGTTTATTACTGTCAGCAGGATTACAGCAGACCATTCACACAGTGAAAAAGTGTCATACAAAAACCTCCCTCAGCTGAGAGGAACTGATCTGAATCAACAGCTGCATGGAAACTAAATGGCAACAAGATACAACTAAAACATACCTCATAATTACATGTAGTTCTAATAATGTGGCATTTAAAATAATCAATCACATTTTCATTTTTTTTCGCACGTTATTTTTTTTTAGGCAAAGATAAATGTTTTAACCTTTGCATTTGATACAACTGATGTCAAGTCTCTCATCAGACAGGTTTATACAGATATGTTAGTTACTGTAATTATATCTAGAGATATAAAATTAATATTTTCCCACAATGCATTGTACATCTACAGTAGCTGAACACAGTTTACAGAGTAACAAACTCTCTTTATATATGTGTAGCACCCCAACACTCAGTAAATGCCTATGTTAAAGGAACTCACCTTGGACTTGAATGATGGGGTGTTTGAGTTCGATTCATTAAGGTAGCTACCACGAAGGTTTACCTGTTTTGTGTGCAACTTTTTATAGCCTAATACTTTATGAATAACCAACAACACTGTTAGACTAAGCAGTGGCTCTATTCACACATACTGTACACTATTTTAAATAACTGACCCCAGACAACTCTTTCAAATAAATGAAATAATATTTTACTAACCAGTGGTTTGCAGTGTAACACAAATAATATTTACTTTGTTAGTTAAGAAGAAACAAAAATGAAATATCACAATTACCCAAATTAGACTTCTTTAAAATAAAAATATTATAGTTGAAATACTAAATTGTAAACAAAATACCCTTTACCAAAATTGGCAAAACACTGTAGAAAATCAGACACTTGTAATAAGCAAAATAGATTTGGCAATATCAAAATACTATTCAAAACTTAAATTATCTCAGGTCTCTAACATTCCTAGTTCTTACCACTTTAATATGATTTATCTGTACTCATCAGACTCAGATCAAATGCTACTTAACTAAACTCTAAACAAAACAGTGGGCCCACACACACACACACACACACACACACACTGTATATAACTAATATAATGTTAATAATGTAAATATCTTTCATATTGTGTATTGTCTGAATATTTCGACTTATTGTGTTGTATTTTGATGCTTTTGCTTTGGCAAAAACTTTCATGCCAATAAAGCCCATTTTGAATTGAATTTGAATTGAATTGAGAGCAGTTTGGTAGTCAGCCCATGCATGTTCAGCCTGTATATTTTAGATTGCTTTTCATTCCAGTTTTGCAGGTTTGACCAAGTCTTCAGCAGATGAGGTTAAATATCTCCAATCACATGTTTGAGAGAGATTTAGCTGTCTAGATTTAACTAGAAAGAGTTTCCAACATATGTCAGCATTTTTTTTATAAACATTAATATGTTGTTGTGCACATACACATTATACACAAAAAGTGTCCAGTATGGGGAAACCCAATGAAACAGCATGTGTGCACATTTTTCACTCATGCTATGTTATTTATTATTTTTAGCTATTTTTCCCAGATTGTATTAACTATCAACAATGATATGAAAATCTTATTCTGACATTGGTTATAATCCTGCACATGTGGAAATATGGAATAAGACATCTATTGTTGGTAAACAGGGATCCATGAAAAATTATTTGATCTAAAGATAGAAAATATCTTTTGATTGATGTATAGCATTTACAGCATTGGCATTATTGGGACAATGAAAATGTCATAATCTGAAGTTCAAATTTGTTCAAATTTGTTAAATTGGTGGAATGATAGAAAGTGCAGATTTAAGGCTGTAGCAAGGTAAAAACGGAAGCAGAGTCCCAGTGAGTCCGGTCAGTACTGAGAACATGGTCTCTCATACATTTCCATAGAGAGCCACTTTGCATCAGCAGCACCATGCTCCAGTGCTCTGGGAGAGTTTATAGTCCTGAGAGTTGAACACTGGATGACTGACAGCTGTCCTTCATGACAACAGAAGACACAGAAATCCTCCTCATCAAAAACATGACTTTGATCTCCGTCCTCATCTGGACTCTCCTCTGCTGCTGCTTCACAGGTAAAGTCCAGAGAATCAAACTCCTCTCCTCTATGAACATCCGTCCCTCTGAAATGAAGCCCACAAAACCATGACGCTGCTTTATGTTTTTGTCTCTGTATCCTCAGAGTCCAGAGGCCAGTACACAGTGACTCAGTCTGGAGCAGTGAGCTCTGCTCTGGGAGGCTCCGTCACCATCACATGTAGGACCAGTCAGAATGTTCATGGTGGGAGCTATTTACACTGGTACCAACAGAGAGATGGAGAAACTCCTAAACTCCTCATTTATATAACTAGCACTCGAGCATCAGGGATTCCAGGTCGTTTTACAGGCAGTGGATCAAACTCTGACTTCACTCTGACCATCAGTGGAGTCCAGACTGAAGATGCAGCAGTTTACTACTGTCAGAGTGAACATTACATCAACAGTCAGTATGTGTTCACACAGTGAAAAAGCGTCGTACAAAAACCTCCCTCAGTCAGACTGAACAGAAACTGAACTGACTGCTGCAGCTGGAAGCTACTGCAGAGACTGATACACTTCACTGAGGACACACACACACACACACACACACACACACACACACACACACACACACACACACACACACGACACACCAGAAAAAAAAAAAAAACCTATCCCCAATAAAAAAAACAAAAAAAAGATTAACTGGAGACATAACAAGACAAAAGTGACCTACGTGATATAAATATATCAACATAAAAATACATTTTCTTTTATATGCAACTAAAATACCACACAAAGACATTGAGACTGAAAGTTATTGGTTGACGTTGGAAATACCCAGACAATCTCTGTACAACATCCATCCACTAACTGTTGTGGAGCTTTCAATCATATCACTTCAATTCAATTCAAGAGAGAGACACACAGACACAAACACACACAGAAAATATATTTAACTTAACTTTTATAAAATTCAGTCGACTCAAATCATATCCCCAGAATATAGAAATCCTCTCATGTGGTTCCAGTTCCTGAGATAACTGATCATAAACAAGTTCAGGAGTACAGTTGTCCTCATATCACTTGTTATGAAGATTTCTGAAAAGATCACTAAGTAAGTGGCCACAGTACTGGCTCACCTGAAGGCTGTGTCTTCTCCCTTTTACCTTTTAGCACCGACAGCTGCAGAAGCTGTGAGGAGGGCAGCTACTTTATCAGATTCTCAGATGATACTGCTCTGCTGTCTCTGCTTCAGGGTTCAGGACAGGACCACAGCTCTGCTCTTCACAGTTTAGTGAAGTGGTGAGATGACAATATTTCAGACTTGATTTGTTGAATTTAGACACATCAGAAATAACATCAGCAACAGTGAGCTGCTGCCTTAAATTACCCTCTCAAAGATAAATAAAGTTATATTGACTGATGGACTGATAACACGTGTAAATAAATATTACAATATGAATTTAATTTCAATGTTGACTACACATCAATATCCTTTTAATCCACTGTTCTTTCCATTCTTACATTAAACCCTGTCTGTGTTTGTCAGAAAATCTATCAGCATCTCACACATCTGTTCATTCACACCAACAAAAAATTACTTTGTATGCCATTAATATCCTATTATACATTACAAAACTATCATCTTCCCTTCTTTTAGTTATTCATCTGATTTTACAAATAATCCATAAAACACTTGTGAATTAAATGGAACTACAATGACAGTAACGTCTGTTAATTTTACAATAACAGAAATGAAACGACTGATTCGATGAGCTGGTCTTTATTGTGATGAAAAAATTGAAATTACAAACAGAAAAACATCATCGATGACACACATATTTATAGAGTGAGTGAGGAAAGACAGAGAGAGACAGAGTTGCAGAGTGCAGACTGAGAGCAGAGTAAAACCAGTATCAGAGTCCCAGTGAGTCAGGTCAGAACTGGGAACACTGGTCTCTCCTCAGTGTCTCTGAGAGCGGAGTCTGGGAGCCCTGGGTGGCCTCACAGGTCACAGAGCCCACCTTCCTCCAGTGGTCTGCAGAGAGCCTCAGGGTGCTGCTCCAGCTGTAGTGGCCGTCC